GTCTGCATGTCTGTTTGTCCCACGTACAATCACACAGAACCGAACAGAACGACAAAGACAAAAGCATTATAAGGAGACGGCTTACCGAGGTGACTCAGACAATGAACACGAAAGATAATAATAAAAAAAAGGCGAGAGAGGGAGAGAGAAAAAAAAACGGAGAGGTGAGCAAGGTAATGTAAAAGAAGAAGCTTGAATAGGAACTGGGGGGGGGAGGGAGGAAGAAGGGGAAGGAGAGAAAGAGAGAGAGGGTGGGAAGAAGGAAGAAGATGAAAAAGAGAGCGAGAGAAAAAAAAACATAGGAAAAAGAGAAGGGGGTGGGAAGAAGGAAGAGGAAAGAGAGAGAGAGAGAGAGAGAGAGAGAACAAGAATATGAATGAATAAGAAAGAAAACGAGCGAGTACCGGCGAATATACACCAAGGTCATTGAGTCAAAGGAAAAAAAAAACTAAAAAAAACATATAAGACGTAATGAGAATAGTAATGGGGGTACATTGAAAAAATAATGAAAATAAAAAAATATAAGAATGTATAACTTGTTTGATGACTCCTGTTCTAGACACTCGATTTTGCACATAATTTGATAGCCTCTCTGTACGTATGTGTTCATGTGGGCGTTATAGACTGCACCTGGTTCACCATGTACACCTTTGTTCTATCTATAGATGTTTTTTAATTTTCTCTCTTATCTATGCAATCGCTATATATTTACATTACCTACTTAGTTCTTTCTATATTATTTTCATCAATTATGCATTTGTCTTATTTATTTTTCTATTTGTTTTCATATATATTACTTGTTTGTCTAAGTTGCTGTAAGTACTTGTTTGTTCATATGTCTATAATTTGTCCGTGAGTTCGTGTTTTTTTTCCTATTAGTGTTTTTATATGCGTGTCTTGTCTTTCCACGCATATAAGTATCTCTTATAAGTATCATTTGTGTATGTACAGTGTGTATTAGAAGTGATTATACATCTCTGGGGAAAATATAGGCATATATATACGTATATACTTATATATACCTATATGCATATATACACCACGTATGGTGGTTTAGATATAATTCATATTGATGAATGGATAAAGAGACGTATGGAAATACTGAAGGATAGATAGGTGAAGATCTGGACAAGAAGGTGGGAGGGAAGAAGGAAGAGAAGGGGAGGAGGTGGGAAAGAGGGAAGGGGTGAAAGGGGAGGAGGGAAGGAGGGAAGGTAGGTAGGAAGGGAAGGAGGGTAGGTGAGAAAGAGGGAAGGAAGGAAGGGGTAAAGGGAAGGAGGGTAGGTGGGAAAGAGGGAAGAAGGATAGGAAGGGAAGACGGGAAAGAAGGGGAGGAGGGAAAGTACGAAAGGAAGGAGGGAAGGTACGTAGGAAGGAAAGGAAGGAGATTGTATGGATAAATAAAAAAAAAGGGAGAAGTAGGGAGGTACGTACGTGAGTGTACACTATCCAGTAACAGTACGTGGGAAGACGGGGGATTTCTTCACCCTAAAGTAAGTGGAAATGTCTCCTACGGTGGGACTTCCCCGAACACGAGGTGAGTCGGGTGGGCGTACGGGTGGAGAAAGGGGGAGGGGGGAGGGTGAAAAGGGAAGGGAGTGGGGGGGGGGAGAGAGGGTGAGTGAGTGTAAAGGGAGGAAGGGAGGATTAAAAGGGAAACTGGGGAGGAATTGAGGAGGGAAGAGGAGAGGGTACGTGGTTGAAATGGGAAAGAGGGAAGGAGGGTGGGTGAAAAGAGGAGGTGGAAAGGAAGGAGAGAGAGAGAGAGGAAGAATAAGAGAAAGAAAGAGAGAGAGAGAAACGGAAACAGATAGAGATGCAGAGATAGAGGAAGAGAGAAGAGAGAGACAGAGACAGAGAGACAGTGATAGAAAAAAGAAAGACAAACAGACAGACTGAGAGAGAAAGAGAATGCCAGAAACAATACAAATTACTATCAACAATCAAAGTCATCTTCGAATCAAAACTAAATCTCAGTCGTTATATTCTCAAACGAAGAATAATGATATACATTTTTCATCATTATGTTTCGTAAGCTAACAACAAGGATAAATGGACGATATATGTAACAGCATTAATAAATGATGATGACACAAATAACGAATGGAAGAACGAGTAATAAAAAAAAATGCGGTTAGATATTTGAAACGATTTGATAATCAAACGTAACGGTAAAAAAAAATCCAAACAGTAACGGGACAACAGAAAATAACGGTTAAAAAAATCCGTTACAAAGAATGATGTTAAAAGGAGGAGAATCCATAGATAAAATAATTGAAAAAGAAGGAGTAACAGAAACGGGAAGAAAGAGGGTTAACGAAACACTAAAACACTCACAGAAAAGACTTTGAACAAGAAACAGATAGACAGAAAAAAAAACGTGGAGAAGGGGGTGGGGGGTGGAGGGAGGGACGGGGGGGGAGTGATTCCACGTGACTTGCAAGGCGAACTTGTGGTCAGAATTTTTTTTTTTACAAATCTTTTTCTTCGTCTTCTTCTTCTTATCACTAACGCCTCCTTTTCCCCCTCTTTCTTCTTCCTCCTCCTCTTCTACATCTTATTCTTATTCTCCTCCCTCTTCTTCCTGTCCTTCTCCTTCTCCTCCTCCTCTTCCTCTTCATCCCCCTCCTCCTCCTCCTTCTCCTCCTCCTCGTCATCGTCCTCCTCCTCCTCCTCCTCTTCTTCTTCTTCTTCTTCTTCCTCGTCCTCTTCTTCCTTTAACCCTACCCCTTCTATACGTCCATCTTCGTTCCCTCCCTTCTACTCCTACCCCCTTCCCCTCTCCCCTCTTTCTACCCTTCCCCTACCCTCCTTACCCACCCTCTACCCTCCCCCCTCCCCCCTCCCATCCGCCTTGCTATTTTCTTCACATTTCTCAATTGTATTTTTGGGTCATTTATCATCCCCCGAACACCGAGCAACGGCCAAGTTCACATTCTTTAACTTCGTCTAAGTTGGGGAGTCTTGGAAGCCTCAAGGAGAACAACTTGGAGGGGGAGGGAGGGAGGGAGGGGGGGAGGGAGGGAGGGAAGGGGAGTGGCAAGAGGGAGGGAGGGAGGGAGGGAGAAGTGGCAGGAGGGAGGGAGGGAAGGAGGAAGGAGGGAGGGAGGGATGGAGGGAGGAGTGGCAGGAGGAAGGGAGGAGTGGCAGGAGGGAGGGGTGGTAGGAGGGAGAGGGACAAAGGAGGGGAAGGAGGAAAAGAGGGACAAAGGAGGGGAGGAGAAGGAGGAGGGGAGAGGGGAAGGTGGGACAAAGAAGGAAAGAGAGGAACAAAGGAGGGGAGAAGGGGAAGAGAGAGACAAAGAAGGGAGGAGGAAGAGAGGGGGGGGGATTCAGAAGGTGGTCTTTAAAAGTGAGAGGGGGAAGAGGGAGGGACAGAGGAGGGGGAGGGAGATAGGGAGCGAGAAGTAAGAAATGAAGACATTGAGGAACAGTGAGGAGAAGGGAGAAGGAAAAGGGGCGGAAAATGGAGGCGTTCTCTTAAAGGGAGAAAGAGAGAGAGAGAAAGAAAGGAGGGAAGAAGGGAGATAAAGAGAGAGAGAAAGGATGGAAGAAGGGAGATAGATAGAGAGAGAAAGGAGGGAAGAAGGGAGATAGAGATAGGGTATGAGGATGGGGATAGGTGGGGAGTCAGAAAGTGTTCTCTCAAAGGGGGGAAAGGAGAGAGGGATGTAGTTGAAATGGTGAAAGAGAAAAGAGACGAGAGAGAGAAGAGGGTATAGGAGAGAGGTCAAAAAGGTAGCATGATAGGCCGGAGATGGAGAGGAAGGGAGGAAAGAGGAAAGAGAAGGGGGGGGGGATAGGTGAATAAGACATTTTCCAAGGGAGATAGAGGAAGAGAGAAGAGAACAAACAGAAACGGAGAGAGGAGGGTAAGGTAAGACAACAGTAGTTAGATGGATTAGTCATTCTATTTGAAAAAAAAAGAAAAAAAGAAAAAGAAAGAAAAAAAACAGAACGAGAGGTGAGGGAAATTCTTTCACAAAAGGGTTTCAGAAGGAGGGGGAGGGGCAGGGGGAGGGAGGGTGGAGGGGGGAAGGGGGCAGAAACTAAGGTGTACATAAAGTCAAGTGAGGTCACGTGTCCTTGTGTGAACGGAAACCTTGTGTCTGTGTGTTTAAGAAAATGAGAAAGTGAGTTAGGGGTCACAGTAGTCGAGGAGGGGGGGGAGGGGGGTCTCACATGGGGGGAATCTTATCCCCTCTCCTTCCTCCCCCCTCCCCCCCTCCATCTCCCCACACCCCTTAGTTATCAGCTGATTTCATATTTGCTGTCGAATTCCTAATGACTTGCCAAAAAAAAGAAAAAAAAATCCCTGTAAAGCGTAAATGTAAGTAAATCAAACGAGATATCTCACTGAATCTCAGTCTTTGTTATTTATTGTTGCCTTTTATATCATAGGCATCTCCCTCCCCACTCCTCTCCCTTCTTTTCTCTTAAGATTTTGACTAATTGCTGGTTAGTGTTATTTAGTTACTCGGTCTCACATGTCTCACATCAGGGTTTAAAACGCTGGGAAAAGATGAGAAAATAACAATGATGATAATAATAATAATAATAATGGTAATGGTAATAATGATAATAATAATAAGAAGAAGAAAATATTAACAATAAAGACAATAACAATAATTGTAATATAAGATAACCACGTCATCTTGAAAGCAAAAATAATATTTCAACAACAACGACAAATTCAACAACAAGAATAAATTCAACAACCAAACAAACCCGATGATCTACTCCATTACTCCAATAAAAAAGAAAGATACAAAAATCATACAAGGAAAAACCGGGCAAAATATGAATTACCGGAGAGCCAGGGAGTCGCCCCATTATCGACATCAAACCATAAGTCATCAGTGCGAGAGAGTTGGGTGAGAGTTCAACCTCCTGTGGTAACCTCTTCTGTAAGTGAGTTTGTTATTTTTCATTTAATTTTCATTTTTGTTTATGAGTTTTCGTTTTTTTTTCTCTCTCTCTCTCTTCTATAAGATTTATGT